AGCAGCCTCGCACGAAACCCGCTCTGTCTCACGCCTAAGAGCCCGCTGTGCCCTACTTGGGCTGACCCCGTTTGCTGAGAGTTATGAGTCAGTGCGATTACAGCAATTTGTTTAAAAGGGGATTATGCATTCATAAATGGAAAGCCACAGAAGATTATAGGGAAAATAATAAGGCTTTGGTTGCTAATGGGACTTTTGGCTTCAGTGGCGAGACCTTTAGTGGCTGTTGACAGACATCATTGCAGGGCACAGCACTCTGCTGAGTGCATGTCACCGAAGGCTTAAATGATTTGAGGGGAGTTTTCTTCTTGTTGGAAAGACAGATGCACGCTTTGGGCCACGCATCCTCCTTCTACCAGCAGGGGAGCATCTTTTCTTCTGCTGCTTCTGCACAACACTTGATAGCAATTTTGCAGCTTGTCTGGCTCCCTTAAATACTCCTGGGATGCTCAGGAATTGTTTTGTTCTCTCATTCCCCTTTCCCAATGCTGTGGGTGCCCTGACAATCGCTCATTCTCCAGCATCCCAGTAACTACCCAAAGTTACTGAGCAGAAACAGGTTAATTTAAGCCTCACGCCGAGTATAGCCTGAGGCACCCACTGCTGTCTTGCCATCTCTTTTCAGTGCAACTTTTGTTCTGAAACGCTCATGCAACAATGGCATATTTGGTTGCTGTCAAAAATGCCAATCAAAACATGCTTTGGGATAACAAAGGTATTTCCAGAACCAGGAAGCATACAATTATCAACTCCACTGCACTAGCCTGCGTTGAAAGGAGTCGACCGCAAGAGGCGAGGCGAAGCACGCCAGTGCTTGCCAGCAAGTTTCACCACCAGCCCGAACAGAGGTCGGCTGGCTTCTCACAAGCGGCCAGTGCTGCCACAAGCCCCACCTGGGCTTGCAGTGCTTCTGCTTCAGAGGCACCAGAACAAAACACAGCGCCCTGCAAAGATCCTTATCCTCTTACTGAAGAAACTCAACACTAGTTCCTGCCTTAAAGGATACCCACGGCAGAACTGTTATATTTGACAGAGGAAGTGCCATTAAAGCACTGACTACTCCGTCCACAACAAGAAACTCAATCCCCTCCCTTCCCTGACTGGTAAAAGGTGCAGTTACAAGTAAAATCCTACAGATACTATGGGGTTAACCCATTGCATTGGGCATATACTGCTGCCATCTAATGGAAGGTAGTGATTGAAGGTGGTATTTCAGGTCCCGGTGCCTGGCAGAGCACACCATTTTCCAGAGCTTTGTGCAGCCTATCTAGTCAGTCATTCTTCCATCTCAAAGTGCTTTACAAAAACAAAGCCTCAAAGCACTCGTGCAAAGTATAAAGCAACGTGATCATTCATATTTGTAAAGCAGATGGATCGGAGGATTGAGCGTGGCAGGACAGGTCTGGGCCTGGCCCGAGAACGCTGGTGGCATGAGGGGACTGCCGGGCCCCAAACTGTCCTTTCCTCATCTGTGCTAAAGGGACTTAGGAACCAAACAAAAGAAGCCAGTAACTTTTAAGTTTAGTAAAATCATTTATATACACTGATGCATAATATTTACATTATAATACTGATCCAAAATAAACTAATGTATTACAGATAACACTGAAAAGGAGAAATGAAAACATTTTAATACACAAGTTAAACATGGCTGATGAGGACAGACTCAGATTTCCAAAAGAAAAACCTGAAGTGATGACAGCAAAACTTTGACATGTTGCTATTTCCCATCAAAAACTCTTTCTGCTAGTCAAGTTCTTCTAGCTCTTTTTTTTTTAAATATATATAGCTGAAAATAATCAAGTCATAGGAGAAGTCAGATATACATAAAATTTTGAAAAGGTCAAATGATTTCAGATATTTTTATCTTAAATAAAATTCTAAAAAACCCCAACACTACATAGCTTTCCCATATTCTTTTAGTGTTTTTACAGAGAATTTTTCTTCTTTGATCCCACATGACCCTTCCATCTCAAGATATTTACAATATTCACAGTCTGCTATAAAGGATCAGTAGATTTATTACCAAGTAAAATGTTACATAATCAAGACAAGATACCTTGCATTTTGTCAACTGAAAAATAAAAAACACAGGGAGGAGAAAGTAAAATATAACTTTAAAATAGGCAAGTGAACTCCATTAGCGTGTGTTTAATTTTGAAATCTTAAAATGTAACTTAACATTTTAAAGAATAAAATTATGATCAACTTTTTCTCATAAATAAAACCATTTGACCTTGAATCTTCAAATTGTCTTCTCTTAATCTGTTCCTCCCTGCCTTCATTTTACATCAGGCCATTTTAACTTATCACAGACAATAAAATCAATAGTAAATCCACAAAAAGCAGTTCCTCATCACAAAAACCCTTAGAAATTTGACTTCTTCCCTCCAGACACCCAAACAGTCTACGGTTAATCGCAAACGTACCCATCTCACTATCAGTAACAGCTTGAAACAACTCTGTTGTGCAGGTTAAAGAGAGCATGAAGAGAGGAGGGACACTCTAACGCACAGCCAGTTCCAATCTTCTCTGCCTATTTCCAAGCTGCCTCGGGTGTCAGCAAGCAGCAGTTGCTATCACACTCCAAGGTGCTCTCTGCTATACCGGGCGCTCACCTGGTATTGCGGAAACAGGCTGCAGCCATTTCCTAGACATCATTACACAGCAGCATACGAGCCTTGCTGCTGTCATCTTCAGCACTAGAGCAACCTGCCAGAGCAAATAGGTGCCAGGGTCGCTCACAAGCTGCATGGATCACACCGGACTTTGGCACAGCAGTAGCCTCTGCTGACTGCGCTGTGCGTTAACAATGAGAGTAGCTACAATCTGATCCATTTTCATGCTAAGAAGTTCTGGCTGCAAAGAAACTGCCAGAGTATTCTCCTCCTTAGTGGAGACATTTCCAAAGTGCTTTTGTGGAGAATTTTCTGCACTCAAACAAAGGTGATTTTCTTGTTTGTTTCTCTAGTTGCCATTCTTAAAAATTCCAATACAATGAGATGTCCCAGAAAAAAAGCATTAATTTCAAGTTAAAAGAAAATGATTATAACATGTGAAGATTGTGTGGATGTTGACATGATCTAGAATTTAGGGCAAGGATAGAAATGCATCAGGCCTGAAAACTCACTGATACTACCAAGAAATGACAAATGCTCGTGTCTCTTATTGTCTTGTACAGACACCCTAATCTGAAGTCACCTCACTTGAGGAAGATCATAGTTCAATTCCCCATGTTAATTTTGTCCTGCGGACCAAGGACTGAAGTTCTCAAACTGTACTGTTCTGTAGGGTAGGATAGCTGGGAGACCAAATTCGCTTTCCACCCAGAATTATGTTTCTAGCAAGGAAAAGGGGGTTATATTCTTGACAGTTCACTACTGTGTCATCAATACATGTCAGTGCACAAGTATTCCATGTAGTGTTAGAGGTACAATTCTGGCTTATGCAAAAACTCCCTGTTTCCATCAGAGAAAGCGATGGTTAAATAGGGACTGTGGTTCTTACCACATAATAATCAGGCATTGGAAAATTGTTAACAGGATTAAAAGAAAACTGATAAGGTGCTGACAAAGAATGGGAAATGAAGAATCTCCTTCATGTAGAAAAATTAAGTTACTGTTTACAAAATTTTATAGAAAGAGTCGGACACCGGTTTGCCATCCAAGCTAAAGGTTACAAGAAAGTCTGTTATAGAAAAGACGACAAAAAAAGAACAAGGCTGGACTGCCATATGAGTAAATTGGGAGATTCATGGCTCAGGTTTGTAAGTATAAACCCAAAATTAATGAGCTATGAAATATAACAATAACGCTCAAGAGTCGTTACTAATAGCCCTGAAATGGCACTTCAGTCTGCAGACCAAACTCATTCGACGTCTGCACAGGTTTAGTACCAAAATATCTCTATAAAAAGCCTTCGACCAGTCTCAGAAGAAAGAAAAGTGTCTGAAGGTAGAAAACTAGAAATATGTACAGATTCTTTTCATTTGTTTAATTAAAATTAAAAAAGCAGCTTTTGGAGCCAACGTTTCAGACTAGTGTAAGAGTCTGCCCTGGGCAGCCTCAGGGTCCAGACAGCACAAGGACATGTGTTGAGGAGCAGCCCTTGCATCTTTTGCTCCCCCAGGAGGGGCTCAAAGGCATCAAAGACATGGGAAGCTTGGACTCCAGAGTGACATAAGAGAAGGATCTCTGGTGGATTCACACAGCAGCACTATGACCCTTGCCAGGATGATCTCTTTCAACCAAGAGGTCAAGTTTGAAATCAAGTGTTGGGTCTTCTAGAAAGGAAAGGATAGAGTATGTGGGTGGAACACACACAACTTCTCACCAGGGGGATGAAGCAAATGAACCCCACATGTATTGTTTGTAAAAGATCCCACCATGAAAATAAAAATAACTTGTATACAAGTAACCAGAGCACTCTTCTGTTCTGCTGTTGCACAATATGATAAGAGGAGTCTTATGCTGAATGGCCATTCAGCCTTGAAGAACGGTCAGAGGAAGAGGGGTTACAGGAGAAAGAAAAAAAGGGCTGCTGATCAGAACTGAAAAATACAGCAAGCACACAGACTCAGGTGCCCTTGGCAAGGCCAAGTGTAGCTCTGGGGTCATTTAGTGAAACAGGAGGTTATTTTTGTTGCCTCTACAAAAAGACTCAGAATTTAGGTACAAAAGGTAGCTATGAAGTTTGTGTTTCACAGCACTTGCTTCAAGTACTTACTGAGCAGGGTGTTGAGAAACTGTGGCTGTCTCATTCACATACATAGTCATTGCAGCTGGCTGTATGTATAGCAGATGAAAGGCAGCTTCTGCAACGGGTTATTAAGAAAAAAAATGGTCTTTAACAATATAATTTGCCCCATCTGGGGGACTCATGATTAACAGTACATAAGTGATCATATATACCTCAAGGAACTGAGTTTTAAAAAAATATTACAGTACCAATGATTTTTGTATCTACAACTATACAGCATTTTCAAGCAGTATGGAAATTTAATGAAATAATTATGATTTATTAATTTACATAAAAATACTTTTTACAGTTAAAGAATAAATCTTAAATGGTAAAAAAAATAAGATTAAGAAGCTCCAGCTATTGAGAGTCATGGGAGTTTGTCTGCTCTTCAATAACTTGTTTTACTATTTCTGCCAGTTTTAGTCGATCCACTTTATCTGTGAATCCTCTGCCTGAAAGGAAAAGAATAGGTTGTCAGCTGATGTTGGACACAAGGAGGAAAGCAGTCATGGCTGGAGTCGTCATAAACTGACTGAACACAAAATAATGCTTCATATAAAAATTTAGGACAACATTTACAAGTGCACCAAAATGCCTTATGACCTCAAGTTTCATTGAGGGGGGAAAAAGTGCACTAAAAAAAAGTTAAATTAAAAAGGAAAAAACACACAAAACAAGAGCAGAGGCATGGGCAAGCTCTTGTGAACTTTGCTGATGCCAGTGGTTGCCTGCTATCCCTCACCATCTGCTCCTGGAGGCGGACGCCCCCGCAGCCCTGTACTGCCAGGGAGCCATCTGAGCACACAGTCCATGTCACTCCCAAGTCAGCTGGAGTTCAGGTCTAAACTGAGCAGAAGAGATGTTGGGCTGACATAGGTGAAGCTGCTCATACTATCTGCTGAAACAGCTTGGTCGCAAGGGCAGCAGCCACCACCAGAACGAGGTTAAAACTAGCCAGAAGGAAACAGGCTGAGAAGTGCTACAGCAGTTTCTAAAGTGACGATTTGCCTATGCTCTTAAGTTCCTAAATGACTTCATGCCTTTGAAAACTCTATCCCGAACATCAAATACCTAAGTTTTAAAGCAGGACTTTAAACCTCATTTATAGAGCATCCACATTGACAGAACAGGGGTCTGAAACAGTGTCAAAATCTAAATCAGCCTGGCACAAATTCAAGAAGCTCATTTTATTTCCATCGAAGAAGATCACTGCTTCCCCTCATTCGCCCGGCATTAAGATCGCTCTCCAGGTAACAGGAGTTCCTTACCATTCCAACTGAAGCTCTGAAGAGTGTCTCGCAGCAACTTACACTCTCGATTATACTTCCAGGCCTCCTGCATTACTTCATTCAACTTCTCATCTTCATTCTCTCCTATTTCGGAGAACAAAGATAAACAGAAGGTTTGTCATTCTTGCTCTCCGCAACATTCAGAGCTGCGGTAAACAATACGTGCAGTTATTCTGCCCTGCATCACGCAAACTAGAAAACTGGTTGGAAGCACTCCTGTTTGAAAGTCATTTTAAACAGCTCTGCATGTGACTGTCCCATGTGACGTTAATATCATGCACGCACCAAAATTACAGTCCACAGATAACAGTTTCCTCCTGAGAGAAACCAACTATGATGACAGGATATTTGTTTATCCTTCCTCACTACTAACACGGACTGATGTTGAAGCACAATAAAAAGTCAGTGCCTTGAACGTTTAGGAATGTAACTTTCTTAAAAGTGGCAACCTTTACCAGCCTGCGGTAGAATGCACTGTGCAATCACATCTCTGAGCTTTTCCAAAGCCACATTGGAATCATTACTTCCATTCTCAGGGTCGTGGATATAAACACCGTCCTTCGGCTTAGTGCTGCAACAGAACAAGGAAGAAATAATTACAGTGTGAACGTAACTCAACTTTAGTCAGAGCTTAAATCCATTACTCTTTGAGTAACTGAACCAGTACAGTGCTTTCTTATACTGGATGGAAAGCAAGCCAGATTTTGGATTAACTATAACAACAACGTCCTGCATCATGAGACCACTTGAAAATAAGAAAAAAAATGCTTCTTTAAATTAATTCAAGTAATCCTAAAAAAACATTATTCTATTTTTCAGACAGGTAACTCAAAGCAAAGAGAGATTACCTGACTTTTTGAGTAAATAAATGTCAACACCAGAACAAAATCTTGGAAGTCCTTCTCCTAGTTTGCCCTACCTTATTTAACATATCACCCATCTTCTCATACCAGATCTGTTCCAGTCTCTTTACAGTATAACAACAGCACCCCATCTCCTTCCTGCCTTCACTGTGCCAGGAGACACAGTATATTATGCAAGTATTACTTGACTCTCAACTACCCGCTTTGGCATGGAAATAAGAAGGCGTCAACGAAATTAGAACTTCAGGAGCATGGTTTCAAGTGAATAACCTGTAACAGGTCTTACAGTCATTCTCCAGGCATCAGAGCTGCCAACATTTTAATTTTTCAAAAACAGCTTTAGAGAGTTACCCCAGTAATTTCCTCTTGCGCAGGATTGGGTTGTTGACGGAGTGAAGGGGTTTGAGACTGACTTTGAGGTCTTGGATTCTCATGTTCGCAAGCTGTTCTGCATGAGCCTGTTGTATCCCTGCAACCATTGCCTGGAACGGAAAAAAGTTGTGCTTGATGTTTTAATTAGCTTTTTTGTGAATAAAAGGACAATAGAGGGATAACATTTGCCATGGACAAAAAACATCCTATGCATTTCAGAGATGCATAACAAAACTCAGGCTTGCAATGCACATGACATGCTTAGTACTACAACTGCAGGACAATATAGCTCAAACTCACAGGGGCTAAGTATCTTAAAGTATCATCTCTACTTCTCATGTTCAGACTCAAGAGAACCAATTCTGAACTCCTGTCAGTACAGAGTTTAAAGGAAACAAGGAGCAGTGGAGATTACATGAATGATTCTCTTGCTACCAATTAATGAAGCTATGAGCTGTAGTCAGGTATAAAACATGGGAAAACATGAAAAAAGACCTAGAAAGGAGTCCTCAGTTATGTCTACTGCCATATTCTGTTCTCTCCTTGTTAGCACACGGATGCTGCTCTTTGCCACCTATCTTCAAGTATCTTCTCCTAGCCCAAATTTCAAATGGAACTGTTCTCATTTGCATACAAAGATCTCAGGCTCTCTCACTAGAGCACAAAGGGAGTTTTTTTTCTGCATAACACCACGTGAAAGAAATCACTTAAACCACCCTAGAGAGCTATCCAGCTCCCCTGTGCAACATTCTTGATAAAGTAAAACACTGTTTAGACCTTGTCCATCATCAGCTGGGCGGAGGGTAGGATGTTATCAAGTGCCTCGGTGGAGTTGAGCCAGGGATGGTCCAGAACACCTTCAATAGTCAGCCGTTCCTCAGGTTTGACCTTCAGCAGCCTGAGTGAGGAATCAATTAGTCCATAAAGAACCCCTTGTTTGGAGTTTCCATGTAATGATCTGCTGCTCTGTCTGGGATCAGAGCACTTTGCAATGTCTAAACGTTAGAGAGGTCAAAAAAAAAAAAGAGACCTCGCGTAAGAGGTCCCCAAAGCAGGCTGGCTTCCCACCAGCCATTTTACCTCACTGATCCTTGCTGGGGTGATACTTGAACACTATCACAGCTCTTTCAGTTATATTCAGCAACTCAGTGCAAAGAAAGCCACTGAAGGTTGTTTTAGCAGTACCTGTGTTCAGCTGAACTCTATATTCACAGCCTCCAAGATAGGAGCTATATTCCAAATGAAACAGAAATGATCCAGACCGCTGCCCTCTGGAAATTCACATTTAGAGCTCATCTGCATAATAGTCCGTACTCATACCACAGGCTCTGGGCATGGTAAAGCAATGCCAAGTCTCAAAGTTGGAGAGCTGGTTTCTGCATTAGCTGCTTTCACCACACAACTCCTTAGCTTTATTTCCTCTGCCAAAGGCTCCACTAATGGACACATTAGCAGGCTACAGCGCCTGAAAATAAAAAGAAACTCTACTCTGAGATTTCTGAAAACCTCGTGGAATTAAGTTTTACTAGAAAGAAAATCTCTGGAAAGAGGTTTTGCAGATACACTCACATTCTCATGATAATCGCAACTGTTTAATAAAAGCAGTAAAATTTCAGCCTGAGTACTGACAAGTTTCCAAGGGGCTACGCTAGAAACAAAATGACTTGATAACTTCATCATACTTTCTTTGTCAATACTCTAAATCAGCTTCCTGACTGCAGAGCAAAATTGTTCAATGTACCGAGAAAGTAGAAATAGAAAGAGTTTTCTTTTTCTAAAAGAGTTTTCTTTTTCTTTTCTTTTTCTAAAAAGTTTTCTTTTGTAAAAGAAAACTTTTACAAAAGGTCAGCAGGACCATAGGCTAGCTCAAATTTCACTTGCAAGGCCACGCTGACAAACAGGTCTCCAGCTCAGTTTTAATACAAGATCCATGATACGTACATTCCTTTTCTGTCGTTTTGCAAAGTCCTAATATATTTTCAAGCATTCCAATTTGTAAAGCTTGGGGTCAGAAATCAGCTTAACATGCTTGAAAAGAAGCAGCCGCTTGAACGCAGAATACAACCTCCAGAAGCAAGAGTTCACATGAACAGCAGTCTACGTAAATAATATAAGCTTCACGAAAATTACAAAAAGTCTAAAAATATTCCTGCACCATAAACACAGATTCAGACTCACTGGCTGGAGGACAGAAAAGCAGGAAAAGGAGTCCTGATAGCATTATTAAAAGAATTACGTGAAGTCAAGAACATCCAAGTAACAACAGTGTGTGAACAGAGTTTCATTTTAAAAGACAATGAAATCTTTTGACTGTGAAGCTTCTGTATGAGAATAAAGAGTTGACCTTGGTATAAATGGAAGTTTCACTGCAACATAATCGGCAGTTTGTTTGGCGAAAGATTCTGGGCTCTCCTGCATTGCTACAAACAGGTCCCTGCACCCTTTCCAAAAGTGTTTTTAAGTCCTTGGAGCCTTTATAGAACCTCAGAGGACACAGTGACATTTAAAAATTGTTTACTAGATTGATTTTTTTTTTCCTATTCATGTTGCTTGTACGTTTCCAGTTCCTCTGACGGTACAAGCAAATGCAGAAAGTTCCTCCTGCATTTAAAAAAAATAAATGAGGTCAAGAGCTAATCAGTGTCACATTCTTGCTTTCAAACAGCACCACTGGATCACAACATTTGAAACAAGCAAGAGATGTGTATTTGTACAAAAACGGTTTCAATTAGCATTTAGAATAAAATAACCACGGAAAAAACTTATTTTGTAGTCCCATGCCTTGCAACAGATCTTAATATACCCGTCTGAGACCAAGCATGACCTGTCAGTATCCTTTAGATAAGACAGTGGATAGAAATTAGTTTCTGGCCTCCCTTCCTACGCCTCTGTTCAGACTCCTCCGAGACTGTGTACTACGTGCACAGGGTTCTAAGGCACAGATCTACCAAGGCAATTAGTTGGACAGTTCCTATTTAGCCACCTAAATGCCCCTTGATTTTAATGGCAGTTTAGACTCTTCCATAGGAGATTGCAAGCACTCTGTAGGCATCTGACTTGGCAGTCAGTTGTCTATATTCTTCTGAAGCAAGATAGAAGGGTTTTGCTGGTCCACTGGCCTTACAGACTAAATGCACAAAACACTCCAGCAATTTTAGAGACAGGAGACATCAAAAGTTGAACACAAATGTCAGAGAAGAGGAAAAAAAGAAAAAATATTTACCAAAATTCTTTCATGGCAGATATGACAGAAAAATTTTGCAGCTGCATATGCTGCAAACAATTCGCCCCACCTTTGGGAAACTGAGCCCTTTGTGATAATGCACTTTCAAGTAATTTTTCAATTCCTTAATATAAGTAAAGAGCAATACAACATTTCCCTCAGCTGACTCACTTTCGCACAATGTCTTTTGCCATTTCTGAGATCTGGCTCCACTCTTCCTCTGGAAATTCAAAACTTCCTGTCATGATCTTTTTCCGCATGTCCTTTGGAATTGTCCGACTGTGATGTTTGGAGTAAAATGGAGGGTATCCACACAGCATCACATAAATAATGACACCCAGGGACCACAGGTCGCAGCTCTGAAAGCAAGGAAATGATCACTCAGGGGTACAACTTGCAGCAAGCAGTGGTGTAGTTCAAAGTGCTTCCCTAAGAAAGTAAAAAGCACAGCTCCCCCTTCTCCTGCAGGCCCCCTCTGATAAAGTCAAAATCCTATCAGAACTAAAATTTCATACGGATTTTTCTTCCCATCAGTTGCTTAATGCTTTATCCTTTTCTTCAACAGAAATATACCAGCTCAGTATTTCTACCAGCTAGTTTTGCTTAAGAAGGTATTTTAAAACATCTTCCTGGCAAATATATAGGCACAAGATAACTCCACGCTGCCAAGCTAGACTGCTTCCAGTGCCCAAACTAGCTTGTTTACAGACAGCTTCTGTAACTCTGCACTATGCAACGGTACATTGTATGGCAACAGCCAGTGTGTCACAGGCATGGGCAAGCTGTGCATTTATTACTTCTCTCATGATACTCGAATCCTAGTCTCTGAATATCAGAACACAAAATAAAACAGAATGCTATACAGTCATGTTTTAGAACCTGAAATTTAAAAAGGAAACATCAAACAAATGAGCTGGCAGACATACTCAGAAGTTTGTAATGAAAACACATGTCCTGAAAGCCACAGAGATGAAGAACGGGCAGGCAGGCAGGAACAGTATCTCACAGCTTCTTATGCCATGCTCACCCCATCCTTCCAACCCCAGGCTGGAGCTCCCCTCCCCAACCCCTGCACTAGTGTTACTGCTTGCGTGATACAGAGCAAGTTCATTCAAGAAGCAGATACAGCTAAAAGCCACCCCAATAAAGAGGCTATACACCAGATCCATTCCTCATCTGGATCACTCTGTGTTCAGGCAACATCAGCACTAACCTGAAGCAGTGAAAGGGACCATAACAGTCTGCACTTTGATTCAAGTTGCTATAGGACCATATCCTTAAGGAGAGAGCTCTATTATCACTTGGCAATGACACAGCACAGCTTGGCGCTGGAAGGACTTGCTCTGACCCTGGCCATCCTTTCCATCATTTCCATCCATTTCTCTTGTGCCAACACTAGCATTTGTGCAGCTAATCATGCATTTTCACTGGCTTGGTTTCCAGCCCTATCAGTCCTCTAGGGGACTCCCAAAAGGTTGTGCCAGCACAAGGAGCTCTAGCCAAGTGTATGGAGAAGTCTGAACTCAGCACAGGTTCAGATGACTGTAAAAAGACACCCAGGGGCAGATTTGAGAGGCTGGGGAGTTTCTACAATCTGTTTTAAGCAGACAGAAGTCTGTACAGCTGCTGAATGGAGCAGCCTCAGCACCACCCTGTCTGCACCCCAGCTGTATATTCCACTGCCTCCTCTGGGACAGCACTGGTGCTCCTGCAGCTGCACAGACTAATCCATCAAACAAAAAATCCTAGGCGCCAATGACTGCTTTTTGACTAGATCAGCACTGACTCAGACCCTCGAAGGCAAGACTTATCTTGCAGAAGCAGTACACTTAGATCAGCTCATACTGATCATGAAGTTGTACCCTTCACTTTTACAAAACCTGTGGATGCTGATGACAGGAGAAACCCCTTGGTGTTGCCCCACATATGCGTGCTTTTTAGCAGGTTGTTTAAGCCAATCCCTGATGGATCTATGAGTCTCATTTCTATTTAGATACCTAATTCTCAAAATTTTTCCAGTGACTGGAGATAGTTTCTAATGAAATCAATGGGATTTTAGGCATATAAACAGGAACCAGGTGTCCAAAGTCTTTGTGAATATGGTTCTCGGAGCCTATTTTTCAAGACTCTAACCTGTATCTTAAAACCCCTCCAACTATGACGTATACACACATATCTGATCCAATGCACACACAGCTTAACGCAAATACTCAGAAGTTAAAGAGGTGCTTTTTTCTCCAGGTTAAATGCGTGGGAAAGAGCTGCTGATCATGAAGGCAGATCACAGGCGTTTCCAAGGCAGACTCCGAAATGCGGTGGAAGGACAGTGTACCTGGGAGTCCATCATAGTCTATTTCAGGGAATTAGGCATATGCCAGATGCTGCCTTTGCAGTGAGTCGCACTTGGCAAGGTAAGGATAAGGCTGCTTTCATTCAGCAGCATTTCCAGTTAGTGCAGCCATGACTAAAAGCAGCTGATCAATTCTTTAAGTTCTTTAAAGGATCTGCCCCATGCCCCAATCACCATATCACCTTGTAAACCCCAGAAGAGCAAGGGAGTTGAAAGCGTCAAGGGGAAAACACATTGGCAGCAGAGCGTTAATCTCGTCAGTATGCGAGTAAACTCCAGTTGATATCTGTTTTCAAGGCTCTTTAATTCCATACAAGAAAATGGACCAAGTTTTGCTTCATTTGCTATGGCCAAGGCTATTCGGTTCATTAAAAGAAAACAACCACTGTCAAACTGTTACCAATGTGAACAGTAAGCAACCACTTGTAGGTGTCTCTGGAACTGCATCCTACCCTTTTGCAACGAAAGGAAGGGAAGCTCCTTGGAGGACCGTTATTGGAGAGCCAATCTGCTTCAGTACACAGAGGTGGAATTCTCGTCTCTGCCTTGTAAGACTTCAAATATTACAAAAAAAGAACTTTACCTGTGACTGGGACTTTTCACATGAAAGGGTAGGAGAAATTCTGTACTGGAAGAATAGTGGCACCTGTCTGAGAACCCTTTTTATAAAAGGGCTTAGCAGCTGTTTCAACTATCAAGCTATTTTTCTAGGATGGAGAACAGAGAGCCATAACCCTGAAGAAGGCAGATGCATGATTAGGAAACCCACACAGATTAATTCAGTGAAGGTTGTCTCTGCCTGTCTTTGCTTTAGCTCTCTATGGAAGCTATTCAAACATATCACTATATATCAAACTATCTCCTCTAGCATGCGTGGGTTAACAAACATCCTTGAAGCTGGAATCAGTGCAGATATTTAATACTGCAATCAGAAATCAGCTAACTTTAATCAAAATAAAGAGCCTCAAAGGAAAACACTCAGTGATCCAAACACTGTAAACACAGCAGGTGAGAACGACACTGATGTGAAGGAAGACACATGAGAAGGAATGGCCAAAAAGGAACACAACCTTTTCATGCACTTTGTCACAAACTTCACTGAGATTCTAGCATCAGTTGCGATCACCCATGGCCTTCTGTGACAGACAATGCAACACGTTAGCGCTCATCTAGCGGAAGATCCCCGATACAGACAAGGCACCATCACAGCTGCCAGAACAAGCTAGTGTAAACAGTGCTTTGCATATTCAGAAGCCCCAGCTGACAGCAGAAGAGGATTCCTTTGGACCAATCCCTTATAAAGGCAAAGGAATGTGACCACGAGGGAAGTTCTAACAGAATCATTTTACTCTCTCCAAAACGTTGTTACTATTTGATGCTCCTGTTAACAGTGTTCGTAAATTTCTCCTTTAATTAGAGGATCGCTAATTAGGCTTGGATCAAGCAACCACTTCATTATTCACTTTGTCAAAAAACACAGAGACAGCAGCACCATTTATCACGTCTCTTCTAAACTGACTGAGAAAGCTACCTGTAGAGATCACATTCTTCGGGTTTACCAGTTCTCCAAGTCAACTTAACAAAACCTGGTCTGGCCCTAGTAAACTTAATGAGAGAAATGCTGCTGTGTACGCGATTGCTCTGTAACATCTTTTAGAATAGCTGAATGAAACCCACTTATGAGAAATATGTTGTCAAAATTATTACCTCCTTCTTGCTGAAAATACATGTGTATATATAATAGTGAGTAAAGTGACATGTTTCCCTGTGGTTTCCTGTAGACCCTGCTTTTTCCTCAGCATGAGGTATTTGGCTAGTTAGATGCATCTCTGAGCAATGAGAGTAAAACAACTTTATTGCTCCTGGCTGTAAGCGTGTGATTCTAGGGCAAAAAAGTTTACCGGCTTAGGTGATAAGCTGTGTCTATAGACTACTTCTATAGCATATACATCTGTGGAAGGGGAAAAAAAGACACTGTACTTAAAGTATGTTGACATATGGACTATTTCATAGCTTACCTTGTTATAAGTGTAAGGTGTTGGAGAGGTGGGGATAATACCAGACTTTTCTTTCTGATGCCGTCTCTGTGCCTCCAATACCTGTTGCCACAAGGGGAGGGGGTGGAGGGGGGAAGAACAATTGTAAGAAAATTGCAAAATACATCTAGATTACAGGCACAGCAGCAGTGCCTATAACCAAAGATGCCTGATGCTTTACAGCTAGGTGCAGTTATTCCAGCTACTGAAGACTCTGCCAAACTCAAACTATTCTTTCTATGAGATACTGAAACTTTTTATTGGGGGGAAGGGAAGAGGGGGAAGAATTTCAGCTACAGTACTTAGCTGCTTTGGATGAAATTCCCAGTTTTGCCTGAATTAAAGCAACTGCACACATCCTTTTTCTACAAAAGCTCTAATACCTTTGTGCTTAGAAATTACAATTTGAAATATATTTGGAGGGTAACCCTAGCTCCAGATGTGTCCCTTTTTACCCCTCCCATGAAAACCTGCTCAAATCTGTAGCAAGTTTCTACAAAGATCTCAGTTTAGATATACTCAGGAAAAAAACTTTGTAAGGATTTGGCAGCTCATTTGTTTTTAAAACCCTGCTTGCACTGCACATGGCCCTTTACCAGTCTCCAGTGGACTGTGTGGGCCACGTAAGGGGCACACTCGCCTGTCGAGGCTGCATGGTCTGATGTCTGCAATTGCTCTTGCTAGCCATTAAAGGCTGCCAAAGTGCCCAGTGCCACAATTAAACAGCAATCTCTGCAGTTTTTTTGAAGCTTTCTTCAGGACTTAAACACAAAGAACAAAGGAAAAAGGAGGGGGAAGCAGCGCTACAAAAAGCGGCCTGTCTGTTATAATAGATTACATCTTAACGTATACTGACAAGGGGGCCAAGTCAAGGTAAATGGGCAACCCTATGGCACTGCCCCACTTGAGCAATTGCTTTTACAGAGCCTTACTGTTTCAGCCAAGTCCTGTTGAACATAATCTCATAGGAGCCTGAGCTGGAAGGAGGATTCTGAAGCAAGGACTTCTACAAACCAACTGCTTTAACACAGCAAAAGACCAGCTCTCAAAATCCTGCAGCACTTTCACTGGTGGGAGTCAGGACTGAGAGAGTCAGGAGGCATCAGCAGCAAGTAAACACTAGAAACATAATCCAGGAATTTTGCCTTGCAATACCCTGCTGTAACCAGTAGATCACAGTGGCACTTGATGTTGAAAGGCAGCTACCCTACACTGCTTGCTTACTCAAGACTCCTGCATTGGCAGCCTTTAACAGTATAGCAGGGGCTTTTAAAAGTGAGATGCTTTCGAAGGCACAGGCAACAAAGATCATTATTACTCTATAACCTAGAATTGAAATTACTCTTTACCTGAGGTGCTACATAATACGGAGTGAACTGTGGTGTCATCAAGTCACCTTGGTCTATTTTGGCAAATCCAAAGTCACATAATTTAACAGGTGCATCCTAAAACAAGGAGGAGAGGTTTTAGTACGAAATCTCACTGTATCTGCTTTTCTGCTACATCCTTCTATGCCCTCCTATTCATCTTACCATCACCACAGCATACCCCAGCATACCCTTCTCGTATTTCACAGAGCAGCTAATGAGGTCAGAAGTGACCTTTGCAATGATCATTTTTGTTCTCCTAGGTGCTCTGGTCCCTGTCTCAGCTTTGGAAAGCTCCAAATGCGTTGTAGGGAGGTCAATGCATATGCAGGGGGGTTATGAGTAAGAGAAGAAAAAAATAGGCTACAAGCTATGGATATTTCAGTCAAAACACCTATACTTCCTATGTAACACCTCCTGATGACACGTGGGGCAGAAATAGGGCAGGGAGGATTCTCTCCACCAGAAAGAAATTCCATGTCAAGATGGAGAACCTGACCCACATTTAGTATCAGTGGCATGGACACGCTCTACTCCAAGTGGATCAGAATATAGAAAAGCCCAAAGCCAAAAGGTCATTTGTTTTTGTCACCAAAACATTGCACCGGTGTCATTCCACATTTCTCAACTATTCTGAATATTATCAAGCTATGTTACAGAATTCAGCAATAAACAAAGATTACTAAGTCTTCATCTTACCAAAGAGTTATCCTTGAAGAGAAGGTTCTCAGGCTTGAGGTCTCTATGTGCAATGTTTAATGAGTGGCAATGCTGCAAAGCCAAAGCTATCTGAAAAAGGGCACAATAAATCAACTACAATTGTAGAACTTCTCCTTTCACCCGGACAGTTATTTTAGCTTTGAAAAGGACATTGCCAACATAAGTTAAGTCCCAAACATTCTCGTTCCACTTGGACACAATTCTGAGTTAAGATATCCCTGGCCATACTGAGCAAAAGTGCAGTAAAGTGTGAAGATTGGGAAATGAAATCAACCAAGCTATTCAGTTTACATTTCACTCAAAGCAAACAGAAAATAAGCTGTATTAGGCTTCCCAGTCATTTGGCTAATGCGGGACATTACTATAACCCCCAGAAGCAAAATGGATCATGACAGTGTCCTTTTATATGCTGTACTAGGTTTGCAAGGTCACTAAGCTTGCTTGCCTGTTCCTCAGCAATTACATTCTGTTTAATAGTCAACAATGAGTTCTTGCTTCAAGATTTTGGTAAATACTTTATTGCATTTGTTACTTGTTTAAGAGTCAACATTCACGCAGCTTTATTCTTTAATTCTTGAAGGGACTGCCTGCAATTTACTCATTTCATGTGATACTGCACAGAAATATATTACTTAATTTTCTTCAAAGACAGCGTCTTACACTGCTGTAGTTTAAAAACCTGTAACCTCGCCATGAAAACTCTACAAGCTGTACATTTGAAAGTGTAATCCATTTAAAGAAAACAGAAACAAATACTTAAACAGCATTACTGACACAAAAGGTAAAGCCGCATTAGCCTTATTTGGAAGTACTCCTATCGGCTTCTGTAGGATCGTACCCAAATAGGTACCCAGTAGGGTGAAGCACCGAGTCCTTAAAAGACTACAAATTACTGTGACAAGAGACCTTCAGTGTTAACTTAGCTCAGAAACAAATACAAATACATTCTCGGAAAACACGACGTAGCTTTGTGACAAGGCTTTAACTCTTACTGGGAACAGGGAGCTAAGATTTTTAGCTCAGGACAGTGACGAATAAATCACCAGATGAAAGAATAAAGGCTTTAAGATTTTTCTCAAAGTACATTTGTTTAAACATTAAGGCAAAGAGTTACTTGGGACATGAATAACCTAACCGTACACAAAGTCAGAATTTAATTCAAAGTCTAGTCTTTGGTTTTTGTTTTAAAAAGTTTTTGGGACAAATGGATCCTGGAGAGCCCCTTGCGCTGTCAAAAATCAAACTACCCAAAAGGATATGAAAACAAACAGTCAAGAATAATCCTGCACTTCCATCTAATTTCTTTGATGGCTGAAGCCCAAAAGGTAACTGCACAATTAGCATTTCATTAGAAACAAGTCAAAGCATAAAGCAGAAGAGTAAGACGAAATGATTTGGCCCTTATTTTGTTTCAGACTAAACATCATCTCCCTAGCACAGGGGAAGCAATCAGGATATTGATATATTCATAACCGGTCATGTTGATTTATGTCAAGTGCTGTAGTATCTTGTCTCATGTTTTCTTTCCTTTATTTGCTGCAGTGACCACTGGTGTGGGAGCAGGACATTTGCTGCTTAGTGTCTCCACTGCAGCCTCACACCTACACTTCACACCCCCATCTTTTGTTTGGAATGTCACCATAACCTCTGCAAGGGGCAGACGAGGGCGACTCTGGCCCTCAGCTTCTTGCCGTGGTGGCAATTAGCATGCAGAAGGGCTCAGCCATTCTGACAGCAAGTTCCTTCTGCCCTTCTAATTCCTTACAGGAGCCTGCTGGTCCTTTGGTGCGGTTCCCTAGAAAGGGCATCACAACATACAGCCATACCACCTTTTCTGCAACCTTTCCATGAACGCAGCCTTTCTGGCTGGGCACCACAATTCATCCAACAGCTTGGAAGTGAAAGGGAACAAGTCCACCCCAGAACTGAGAACAACTGACAATGGGGATCCCTGCATCAAATCCCACAGAGCCCCTTCTGCTTTGTCATCCTGCCTACTCTAGCAGGAGATAAGCTACTCATAGCAGATGCACTGCTAAGCAACAAAGAGTCTGACGGACACCAAACCCTCTAGTAATAAGTACCAGGGAGGCATTAAAACACCACGTTCAAGAGTGAGCTATAGTTGTCTAGAGAGATGGAGAGGGAAGAATGATACCAGAACAAACAGAACAGAAAATATGAACTACACTGGTACATTCTTCTTACGGTCTTCCATGATAGCTAGGATTTCTGCAGAATAAATACAGAACCGAGGCTGAAAACCACTGGCTCAGGACACACGTACATCAGCGCGTGCTTCCCTGCTCAAGAGGGGAGAGGGACCATGACCAATGTCTCATGACCAAGAGACATTCTCAGACAGGAACCAAGGGGCCACGTGTGGTTGGTCTGGTGAGAGCCTGTGGACTGCTGGATGCAACACTGAGAACAGCAGTGAGGGAGACAGCAGAAAGACTCTGGAGGAAAAGAGTTCTCTTTGGTGAAGTGCTGTGTAGACCACAGCAGGAAAACCATAGCTAAGAATAGCAGACACCAGGGTTCCAACCCAGAAAAACTAGCCCACACCTTCAAACTCCTTGTTTCTGTCAGATTATAACAAAGCAGGCAATGATCATCAGACCAGAACTGAGGGTTATTTTAGCTTCCTTTTTTCCCTCCCCCCACCCCATAAAATTGTTAAATACTTTAGCCATTATCATAGATTTGCTTATACATGGGAGTTAACTTGCCTGCTTTGTTACTTGGCTTGCTTGCTTCTCAGTAAAGTGCCGGTGCTGGCTGATTCTGTGAAATAGCTCTCCCCCTTCCATCATCTCCATTACAATTAGAAGCCGAGCCCTGTTTAAAAGCATTTCATTTTGTTACATTAAAAATAATCAAAGAATAACAGAATTGATATGAAATATGCATTATTAGCATATCTATTGATGCAGACCAAAAGAGAGAAAAATAGTTGCTTCTTCTGCAGTTGTTCTAGCCATTTTAGTTCAGTAATTTTGCCTTTAATCACGTAAGCTGCAGGATTTTCCGCCTCCCAGCACAAGCTGACACACTGATTGTCAGCCAGGAAACTACAGTTTGCTCTTCATGTTGGGCTCCTGCTTCCAGCTGGAACAAGCATCACGGACATGTCTACATGGATGGATACAAACAGATACCTGCAAGCTCCCCCCACGCTTTCACTGGCAAGCCAGTCTGAGCCTGGAAGCATTTAGACATATCAACATATAACTCCGCCTTCAAAGAATTAATACAGCAGGCAGAGTCTTGCATTAAACAGGCTAAACAGCTTCCAAACATGAGCTGGTTTAGAGCACAGCGTACACCTGCCTGCACCCATCCTTCCAGACGTGCCAATTTGCTGAGCTACCTACCTAGGTGCTAAAGATATTCATGGCTGTTTAGAAGCAGGAGGTTAAGAGTTACCTTTAACACATTTGAGTCAGGATCCTCTATTGTACCTCCTGCTTTTAAATAAAAGTTTTATTACCAACTTCCTGAAGTGTGGAGATCAGGACTGAGAGGTCTTCAAGAAGCTGATTTTTAATTCTTCTCATCACATAGCAAAATCAGATGCATTGGAGGCTAAGACAGGTCTCAGTTCTTTAGTTCTCCCAACTCTTTTTTTTCCACAACTAACGTTCAATTAGAAGATAACATTTTATCCCACACCATATTACTATATGAAAAATAATCGGTCTGGTTCATGTTTTGCTGTGTTCATTTTAGACATAACAATGTGCCGAGATCACAGGGCAGTAGTTTTAGAAGCTTTTTTTCCCTCCCCCCCAACCCCCTTCTTTTTAATTAGGGTCAACACTCTGAGTGGCCCACAGCCACCACCATCGCGTAAAGGGACCTCACTTATGATCCTGGGTAGCAACAAAAGCTGCAGCTCTAATTCTGCTTTAACAGTGCTTTGAAAGGAGAAAGATGCTCAAAGGTTACAAACAATTCAACTGAGGCTACTAACGCAATATTTAAGCGGGACAAAAGCTATTTTACCCCCTCAGACAATGCAGGTATCACAAACTGTTGTACTTTTCATTGAGGAGTCTAAGAAACGAAGTTGTGCTCAAAACCAGTACTGAAGGAAGCAAATTCTTTTCACTATGCAAAGGTCTGGGCACTGACAGGGGAAACAGTAAGCGTTGCTTAGTTTGAAAGCAAGATGTCATGTTTGGAACCCCCCAAAAAAACATTCACTTCAGTCACACTGTGATAAAATAAATAAATAAAGCAAACTCCACTATACCTTGGCCTAAACACGGAAAGCAAGCTGTGGGAATGAATCACCCTATGTAATCTTACCTTGGGCTGGATTCATGTGGGAACTGCACACTGTTAGCATAAACTTCAATAATTTGAACAATATTTGGATGTGTTGCACACATCATGTGCAGACGTACCTTAAAGAGAAGGGAAGAAACGTTACTGTACACAAGGACATGCATCTGCCCAGTTTTGCTCCTCGCTCTGCCCCTGAGACTACAGCATACATGAGCCTATGTGCTGCTCAGCTGTGCTCAGCATGAGTCACACACAATTTAAAATAGACCTCCAACTATTCAAAAAAATAAAAAAAAAGTCTGAAAGCATTTATATGAGTAACCCAACAGCCATGACACCACTTTGCCTGAATAAGACAAAAAGATCATACGTTGCCAACCTATTTGTTGCAGACCATGGAATCAAACCCAGCAGAGTTCCAGAGAGCACCCAATCTTTAGGATGATTGTTTAGATTTCTTTTCTTTAAGAAATCTAAAGCTAGAATCAGCATTAAAGTAGCAATAAGATACCATTTAAACTGATACATATCTGGAAATTCATGAATAAAAGCCAAAGTTCCATAATCCATTTCCTTCTATAGCCAGATGGACTAGTCTAGCACTTAGGATAGGTAAAACCTCATCTCCTGTTCAGACCTTTTGAAACAGAAACCTAAGGAATTTCACTCTGTTTAAACCCACCTGGCCTGCTGAATCAAGCCAAGCCTTGACACTCTTTGTATAGACTTTTCCCTGGGAATTTTAAGTGAGAATTAGCTCAGTAACAGGAAATGGAATTTGCCTAAGCCTTGAAGACAATGAATGTTTCTTTTGCTTTCACAGAAACTTTAACAATTGCATATCATTTCAAATAGATTGACAGTTTATGATGCAAGTTTAAGTTGGCTTGCTCTTGTCAGCCACAGCAATATAATCACAAACAGTATCAGTGTGATTATTTAGTTTCTCATAGACTCATGTAATTTAGAGTGCAACCTCAAGTATTCCTGGCAATTCTTACAGTAATTACATACAAAGGTGAGATGTATGCAAACAAAATTACTTCTGAACAACTCACAGTACATTACACAGGGCATAGGGAGAACGCTAGGTTCAAAATACAGCTCTATAAGTTACACTTGTACATATACAACAAACACCTTCAGCAAATACACAGTTAGAAGGACCCTCACCTCATTTTGCCCACTCCCTCTAGAAATCAAGCCCAGCAAATCTAGGAACAAATGCAAGGAATCTCGCGTTGCAAGATCCGCATAGCAAGGTTTCTTAAAACCATTGAAACAATTCACCGAAAGGGAGAGACTTTGCAGGGTGTCAGAAGGCAGACAGTATAAACAGGAACTATACCTCATTTCTAGCTTTTGGACGATCGAGAAGAATTTTCAGTGCAAAGCGTTCTTGAGACGATTTTTTCACGCAGACTCTGGCATTACAGCAATAAAATTATTCAGTCAGCAAGAATGCTAGAGACACTTCAAGCAATTGCGTTACAGTTACAAGTGAGCTCTCCAGGTGGGAACTAACAAGAATGCTCACTCTCTGGCATACACCAGGCACCTGTCACAACACCCAGGCTTGAAAGCCTCGAGTTTCACTGTCTTCTGCGACAAACACGTAGAAACACCTCACACAAGGTTATACTTTCAGCCACGCAGAGAGCGCACTTCAGAGCACTGGGTAACTGTGGACAAACACGACACACTGTATACGTTCATTTTAAGAGACGCTTCTGATGAAAAAACCCAAACCAGTCAATGGCAGCCTCAACATCTCCAATGGAGAATCTACTCTGCAGTAAATAAAGCGTTGCCTAATGGAAACCCTTATGCTGGCAAGGCCACCAACCGTGCTGCACATGTTTTTTTCCCCTCTCTTTCCCCCATTTAACATTAACAATGGAACTGCATCAGAGGGAAGGGCCCACATATTAACAGGCAGCTAAAAGAATAAAGAACAAAGGGATATTTTAATAGAGATCAGGGGCAACACAGCAACAGAAAATGGATGAGGAGAAACCAACTGCCTGGACAGGAAGATAAACGGTGGCAAGAGACAAACACCCTGCCAACCACCCAGAGGCAGAGAGGCACAGACGTTTGCTTTCCAGAGCTCAGGCGCAAACTCTTGCTCTCAAAAGGGAGATCACTGGTTGAAAAGGGAACATATGCTTTGCTTTACAGAAAGCGTCCAGTTCAACGGTTAGAAATTCATGACAGGCAGGTCTGGTATTAGATGCAGAGCTGGTGGCACTATCTGCTTTGGCCTCACATGATGATCTGAAAAAACAGCTGGTAAAAATAGCTAACTGGCATAGAGTGCTGACGCCCTAAGTGAGGACACCGCAGATGGGAACAGCGACCTTTGCACCATACTGTGAGTAGCATCAAAAGGACAAAGGTGTTTGAGCAGCATTTTCTACCACCATCTTTTCACGACCGATTCCTGTTGCCACTTTGCTTCCGGAATACAACAGTGAGACGGGACAAAGCAGAGAGGCAAGGAGAATTTCTGTTTCAAACGTACTCAGTAAAAGACAATACCTTGCTCACACATCAGCTACCAGCCACACAGAGTACAGAGACATTTATTCATTTATAAAGAGAGTCTTCAAGATATCACATCATTCTGCCGTTGGCATGCTTAAAATATATACTCACTTCTCCACAGGTAATGTAACAGGCTGAGATTACATACAAATCCGCAGGTGTATTCTCTTACCTAACAGGACCACTGATCCCAGCTCCCAGCTTCTGCGTCCAGTTAATGTTGTACTCCTCTAAAATGGAGGTTTCCTATTCAAGAAGGAGCAGAGGGAAGGGGAAAGAGATTAAAAAAAAAAGTTACTAAATCCCTTCCAAAAAAACAACTCAGCAGACCTGATCTGCAAGATACTAAAGCAGAGAATGAGCCTGCTTTGGGGTTTTGGTTCACCTAGGGAAATTACACATAAATATGTCTGTTCACATAACAACACGAGAGCTCATATAAAATGATTGCTGTGCAGCTGTAGTATCTTGCTGAGACGGCTCACCTTGGCATTTTAAAACAGGATTATCAAGCACAGTAAACAGGATCTTGGGCTTTTAATATGGAAGGCTTATAAAGGATACTTCTCCTGACTCCAGAATCCAGTTTTCTAGCTATTAAGTGATCAATTGCAACTGAACGCAAAGATCCAGTTTCAGCACTACTATGTACTCTTTTGATCATAAAATACAACTCAAAAATCACTTTGCTTCTTTCTTAAAGTTTTCAAACCTTTGGACTCATTACACTATAAATTAAATACACGACTAGTTTTAGCTTGTCTGATAATGAACCAAGCTCATGTTTATAACTCTTTTGTCCTAATCCATATACACAGGGTTTGGTTTTGTTATGACACAGTTTGGTGCTATCATGCTTAAACATGTCACAATGCAGGATATAAACGTAGCCTTAGTAAGGAGAATTTTGATTAATACTGCTGCCATATGCTGTTACACAGATGGTGATTTAACAACAGAGCAGCACTGAATGGTGGAAACGGTGTGTGCAAACTCAAGACACAAAGCAATATATGCTATAAAATCCTGGAATTATTTTTACATGAACATTGTTATGCATGTTCCAAATTAATTTTCCAAAAACCTATGCTTTCTGATACACTGCCAAAAAAAAAAAAAAAAAAAAAAAGAGGTGGCACCAAAAGCTAGCACTACAGAAGTTTTAAAAAAAGCAGGTAAAATGCCCCCAAAACACACGGAAAACAAACGAAAGAGTCAATTGCTTGTAAAGTAACTTTATTTTGATCAGATTTTCCTTATGTTAATCTTCATTCCAAACCTGCTACATTTGAGGATTTACTCATGATACAAACCACCAAAGATTTGAGAACAATCACGCTCTCAACTAAGCCTATGGAAGGCGGCAGCCCCTAACATGGGGAGCATTGACTCTGCAATTCAGAGAGCAGGGGTCAAACATCCAGCCGCATGGACTGAAAGCAAAGCAAGAAAGCAGATATTGAAGGCAATATTTGGAGGGATAGGAGGGCTGCTTTTAGTGTAAAGGACGGGTGCAAATGGAACACTCCTTTTCTCACAACTCTGGAATAGTTATTACATAAACCATAAATGACTAGTATGAAAGGTCTTAAGGAAAAAACTAATTACGATACAATTTGAAATCGTAGGAAAAACAGTCCAGGATCAGTGGACTACATACGGCCTCTTGTTTTCAAGTAGAAACTCAAAGAAACTTTGGCTGTTATCAATTTAATTAACACAATTTCACTGAGCCTTGAGAAGCGTATTCGTGAAGAACTAATCCAATTTTTCCTGCTATTCAGATACAGAGAATTGAAATCCTCACAGGTGCAATGAAAATACAATTTTAGAAGTACATTATAAGCTGAGAAAAGGTTCTTCTGAAATGTGAAGTACATTCCCAGGACACGCTTTCGGGATCGCACTTACTGTCCAAGTTTGAAGAAAGTCCAACCACTGAACTGGAGAAGCTAATGCCAAAGCACTCTGGAACCACATCTTGATTAAATGATAATTTTTAAATTATTTTTTATGTAGCTTTGAAGTCTGTTGCTCTCGTTTCAAAAATGAAGGGCCTGCATACCCACCCTAAAACTTACCTAACCTTTTCAACTATACAGGTAAGTCTAAAAAGAGATACTGTCTATACATACAAGCCTGGGCTTGACTTCTGCTATGGCAGAGAGACCATTTTTTCCGTTTGGACTGAGCAAGTTGAACCCTAGTAACAGAGGAGCTGATTAGGAATTGGCAAGTTTGTGATCTATGAACCAAAAGGAGGGAGAGAAGATCTGATATTTCTCAGCACCTGAAGGGTAAGGTCAACAACTACAAATAGTAAGTCCATTTTTAATTAAAGTTAATTTATTTCCTCCTGCATATTCTGGGCTTTTAACAGTGGTTTAAATAAGAAAGCCAAAGTTCACTGTTTTCTGCATTTTTATAATTTATTTATTCAAAGGCAGCTTGACAACTTAGAAGCAAAAAAAAAAAAAAAGAAAGAAAAAGTCAAGAAGAAACATTATTCACCATCTCCTAATGATAGGAAATATATAACTTGTGAACTTTAATATATACTAATCTATGGAGTTGGCTAAACTCCTTCTAGCTCACAAATGCAAGTTCTGAGTCTAGCATCAAGACTGTATTTAGCTGCAAATCAACATGTGTTCCTAACATTCAAACAGCATGAAATTTTTAAAACGTACAAATATAAAATTGCCCTCTGAAAATATTAAAATCTATTTCAATTGATTAAGCCTAAATGCCTTGCCTTCCCATTTAGGGTAATGCACTATGGATGCAGGTAGCAGAAGGCCCCGTATTCTGTACTTAGCTCCACATCTGGAAAATAGCGTGCCTTACAGTAGCACTGCTGCACAGCACTGAACTTGTAAACTGGCTGACAGGTCAGCTGGAACTAATCTGCTGAGGCTGGGAATAGAGGAGGCAGAAGAGTGCTGGAGAGCACACTTCCAGGGGGAAAACAAACAAACAAAAAGCAAAAGAACAGGCAGTGGTGTAATTTTCTTACTGTAAACTTTTGTGCAGCTACTAGTGTAGGAATTTAAAGATCATTCCTTACACTAATTTCCACTGGGGAAAAGGAATAAATTGATTTGAAATGTATTCAACTGAAAAAAAAAACCACACACACAAATTCTACAAGTTCAACACTCTTCAATAGCACAATTCCCTTTCAAAAGCTCACGGTGCCTAAACCAATGGTTTGGGTATCCTCTCACGCAGGATCATTTGTCTGGGATGGCAATGGTTTGGAAAGCTAGGAATGCAGTTTCTCCTAAGTTGATCAACAACAGAGAAGCTGTTTTCAGACACACAGCTCAGCATGCCTCAGGCCTGCTCAGCGGAAAGTTCAGGTGCTTCTCGGTTTCCACTGAATCCCAGTGGAAAAAGGTATGACATAAAAGTACTTCAAGAACAATAACACATTCTTAAAGTTGATTAAAAGTATATAGACTGCCATTTGGACAAATGCCACATATTCAACAAGTGATATGCAAATAATCAACGTAACTGGTTCTCCTCTGCTAAATTGTTGGCCTTTCAACTTCTGCTAGTTCACATTAAACAGTGATCACAGTCTCGAATCACAGAACTTAAACCTGCAGATGCAGATGCAAACCAACCAAACTTGAAACAATAACTGAACATTAGCAGAACAGAGGAATCAACATGATGTTTAAACAGACTAAATTATATCTCCGATTCGGACAGTGCCTGTCACCCAAAACGTTCACCCAGAACCTGTTCTTAGCCAGCATCCTCCAGAGCGAGGGGAGCAAGGCAGATAGGAGGCTGTCCCTACCCCTGCAGGACAGTGGCTTTCCTTGTTTGTTGTAAATCAAGAGCTATGATATAAATCATTATCTTTTCATGAAATATCACTGAAGTACTTGACAGAACACTCACTCGGAAAGCCTTCTGGACAGCTGTTTCACCTGCACTGTGCTAAGACTGATAACAAAGTGGGAGGGCTCAGTACACCACTCTGGTACTTGACCCAGTAGTTTCCTCACAATTTGGAGTGCCGAAACGTTATGCCTAGACTCCCTTCCACTTTTGGCTTTTTCATTTCAAAAAAGCAAGGCCCGTACACTTCTAATCAATGTAGAGTTCAGCAATATAGGACTGAATTTCAACATCCCTTTTTCACCTCAGTGAGCTACATACGGGATAAATCCCACAGCCAAAGATAACACAGATGAAGGAAAAAAGTCAAACTCCAATACATTAGCTCTTTTTTAATCTACCTTTTTCTAGAATTCATTTGCCTTATTAATTTAAGTATTTATTAAGGCAACCAGAATCTGCAACCAGGAACATTTTGTGCAAGATAAACTTGCAGAGTCTTTAACACATTGTTTTACTGTCAAGACGGTCCCCCTGCTTTCCTCAGGGAACCCACTCAGTCGGGTCACAGAAGGATTCACCAGGAAGCGTTAAGCTCATACAGCGATTCTTGCTGTTCAAAGGAACAAAATTTGGGGG